TACGGGGATGGAGATCCTTTAAAAGGGCCCAACCCGAGTTCTGTTAATGCTGTACACTTTTTTTTAACTAAAAGCCCACAAAGGGCCACCCCTGATCTTTCGAACCCTTAATAAAGTTTTTTTATAAATTATACAATTGAGAATTTTTATCTGAAATGCTTGGGGACAAATTTTTCAGATTTTGATTATTTTGGAATACAAGGAAAACCTTGACTTCGAGTTTAATTTTTTTTCCGTACCTAGCTCGTAACTCAATTTCTCGTATACAAATAAATTTTTCCTTTAAATTAACTGAATTGCCATTAATCCTTCTACCCCCCCCAAAAAAAAACACCCCAATATTTTTTTAAAGGGGAATTTAAATAAGTAAAAGTATTTTATAAATAAATGTTTTTTTCCTTTTTTTTGCCAGGGCCCACAATTTTTTAGAAATGCTGGAGATAATGAAACTTCTTGAAGCTGGTGTAAGAGAGTGTCTTCCCTGCCATGGATTGACATTCGTAATCGTGCACGTTTTTGGCTTTATTTTCACTGTTACAAATAAACATTCTGTCTGTTTCTGTTTATTGTTTCTACTGTCTGTCTGTCTATCTGTCTGTCACTCCCTACCGTGGAAGTCACCGGGGAGGAATTTGATGATCGTGCACTGCATTGGTTTTATTTTTCACGTTAAAAATAAACATGCTGTCTGCTTTTTTTGTTTCTTTTTATCTGTTTCTATCTTCTGTTTATCTCTGCCCTGCCTACGTCTTTCGTCTGCCTGGTTTCTGTTTTTCCGTCTTTCTACTTGCCTCCCTCAGAGAGAGAGCCGCTCATGAAACCAACAGGTATTACACCAATGCAAGTCTTTTACGTCTGATTCCGAAAAAGTAAAAATGTGATTTTTTGCCACATGTTTATTATGCCTTACACACAAGCATAGTATAGCATTTTATCTGGATTTTTTTGGGTTTCCTAAGTAATTTACACAAAATAACATTTGGTGTACCTAGAGATAGAGACAGACAAAAACGAGGAGGATAAATACGACAACAGAAGGAGATAGAGACAGCCAAAGCAAGTGGGGCCCCCCAAACCAGCCAGCCTGTAGAACATGTTTTATATATGTTCCAAAATTGTTTTTTACTTGGGGCATACATAGAACATTCGGCAGGGGACACTACCAGTGGTATCAAAAAATTTAAAGGTGTTAACATTGGTTATTATCGAATTTGATATTTCCTCTCTCCTGTGAGTGGGGGCATATCTGAACTCGCTCATAACTCGAATTTTGGCTCACAAAAATCAAAACAAAAAAACGCCGAGTGACAGTTCATAACTCGAAAAACTCATTAAATTGGGCACTCTTAAGTCAAGGTACCCTGTATTTTGTATATTTGCATCAATAAAATGGACAGCTTGGGGAGGGGCCCAAATCAAACCTGTACTGTACTGTACAGGTACTGTGCCCCCCCAAAAAATATCACTGTTTTCACAAAACGAAAATGCAGGGCCCCGATACTACAACCAACAACATATGTTTTCCTCCAACACTGCGAATCCACTCCATCATACAAAAATTTACATCTTTTTTTCCCTTTTAGCAGTGTTTTTCCTAATTTTTATTAACTTTTTTTTCACTTTTTAGCATAGAACCCATCAATTTGTCCTTCGTTTCTTTAGATCATAGTGGCTGTTCCCAGCAAGCTTCACACTTTCACTGCCCAAGTTCTTCCCGCAAATTGACTTTTTTGTGAATAAACGTAAATGCTGCCCCTTTTCTTTTTACTATTTCCCCTATCTTTTCAACATTTCAACAGTATCTTTACACAAAAGAAAAAAAACATACAGTAAATAAGAGTAATTGCTTTCTGACAAAAAACTGAATGATTCCCTTTGGCATTCATTTCAACGCCTAAAAACTTTTGGGGTTTTTGAAAATTTTTTTGGGTTTTGGAAAATTAGGTAAAGGGTTCTTTAAATAACTCTGATGCAGTTGCTTAAATTATAATTAGCCATCCATTAAATTTCTGGGAGCATTTTCTTAGCTTTTCAAACTTTTTCATAAATATAATAATAATGCCCAGTAGCTTGTTTGATCAGTTTTCTACACTGAGGGAAAAGACCACTTCCTGAAGCAAAAGGTAGGGAGCCTGATTGAAACTTTCTCAGCTGTCTGTACACCTGGGGGTGTGGGGATGTCAGTGGGCCCTTTTTGGGCCACCAGGCCTAAGGGCTCAGTGTGGGGGTTCCATCATCAACCAGGAGGCTCCACCACAGATTTTAGGGGCCCCCCCTTTTTCCCCACGTTTACTATCTTGACATTTTTTTACCCGATCTTTTTTTGCATTTTGTCATCCAAGCAAACTCACAGGGAAGGGCTGGGGCACAAATGCAACAAATATTTAAGGGGGAAAAATTAGTACTGTAAAAATGAGGAAGCTCCGTGGTCAAACAAGACCTCCCATAACAAAAAAAGTAAATGTTTTTCACACCTGTGAACCATTTTGTAACAATACCTGGGGGACCAGGCAATCAACAACTTTAGGCTGGGCTCCAGGGTTAGAAAAACCTTTGAAACAAGTACCAAGCATGTCATGCAACTAAAACCAAACATGCATGACCATAAACCTCAAATAAGAGAGTTATTAGCACAGAGATCTGTCTAACACTGAGTAGAATATGTGAGCATTGTGACCTGGAAAGTGCAGGATAAGCATTTGACAAGTCAGAGGTTGATGGGGAAGAGCTGGCTTGGGTGACAACATCGGGGGATGCTTAGTGGGGAAATTTTGTCTTAACTGTTGTTTTGTCCCTGAAATTGAACACTGTGGCAGTGTAAAGTGGAATGGAAATTCACGTTCAGTTAAATACTTTTTCAGGCTGATCGAGGTAGAGGCATTAACAACTTATGGCCATTAAAAATTGTGCCAGTGAAAAACTAACAATTCATGGAAATCTAGAGGAAAATTTTATGGACAAAAACATTACATTTTAAAATAAGAAAATTGGTACTATACCCTCTTTTTAAAGTATATGTTTCAGCATGTAAATCATGTGCAGTCCTGTAAACCCACAAGAAAAATTGCAGCATAAACAAAATTATTTTTTTTTAACTTTGCATTACCATGGTGTTATGTATTGTACAGTATATCCATATTTATTAGCAATTGTATACTAAAAACAAACATTGTTACTTAGCTGTAGTTATTGGGAAAAATTAGCTTTAAAATACTAAAATTCCATGAAAATTAGAAAGATTTTGACACTGATACCTAACGTTGTCAAGTGTACATGTACAGGTCGGTCATCACTAATCCTGTAATCAGTTATCTGGTTGCATCAGTAATCTGGCACTAATTTTGGCTAGCATAATTTCAAATTTCATCATTATACTGACTCACATCATTATACTGACTCAGATCATTATACTGACTCAGAAATTGTGCAGATGGTTTATAAATCCACAGCAGCAAGCCAGTGGAGGAGAAAGCAGTGATGAAAATAAGGAAGATGTAGCAGAAAGAGTCTCTGTTGATAGGTTAATTAAGTGTATTTTAACCTAACCACTCTGTAATCCGCAAACTCATTAATCTGACACACCACAGGTCCCAATGATGCCAGATTAGTGATGGCCGCCCTGTACCCTCTTTAACACTTATTTCATTAAACTCGCTAGTAATTGTGTGCTTTACCATTGACTAGCATATAAAAAAGTTATAAATATTGCTATAATTACGTATACTGAAATATATTTTTTTTTTTGTTTGAAAACATGAACAAATGTCCTGATTTTACTCCATGAATCAAAACAGGTCTTGAGTTTTTGAAATAAAAAAGTCTAAATTAGAGGTGCTTGTCTGCATGTAAACTACTATAATGAAAGGATGTGCTTGTGTGAGTGGGAGGCAGAGTGTATACTGAGGGTATTTAGATTTCATAGAGACATATTTCTTAGCACTAGAAACAAGAACATCATGAGGCCACAATTGTAAACTGAAAAGTTGGTAGTACTGAAAGGACACTAAAACATTTTTCTTCATAAATGGAGTAGTAGAATATTGGAATGATATCCGAGAGCAGATAGTGTGTGCTACACCTGCTGGAAGCCTTGAAAGTTATATTACCTACACATTAAACACTGAGCACAGCTCTCCTCCTCTACTGTGATTACAAATAGGCATCTAATGAAGATGGGATACCATACTTATAACTACTACTGTAATGTATTTACTTATAGCTAATTGTGCTCACAGTTAAGGTTTTCTTTTACAAACCAGGAAGCTTCAGTCAGCAGGACTTCCACATTTGTAATCTGATGAAAATATTAGAATCCTAATGTTAAATAAATGTTAAGGTATTCATATATAATCTCCAAGCGTAGTGTTCATGTTTGGGTTATGTGCTGGACTAATTGTCAGCCTAATAGCATTATTTTGATTTAAATAATTTGGTAAGTACAGTAAATAAAAATCTTTGTTCATTATATGCATTGGAATCCAGCAACTTCTTGGTACCAGATTTTCATATACTGTAATGGTGGTGGTGGGGGGGGGGGGGGCTAACTGTGTGTCCTCTGCTGTACCTTACAGAGCCTCTGTGTCAGACTGCATATTTGATTATTTATATATGAAGTGAATATATTTAGATGCAGCCTTAATAAACTTTGTGTAAAGCTTTTGTAGGATTTGTGTATTAGTGAAATGATTCCATTTTTGTGCTGGCTTGTTATAAATGCTTTTAATTATAGCATACTGTCTATTGAAACTAACCTGCATCTTAAGCATTGAATGTTCTGCAATTAATAAGCTAATGTATGCAATCATTAATTTAAGACTTAGTCTTCAAAAACACATTTGGCTTTTATTTATCAACTGTATGAATAAAAGTAACATTTTGTAGACAGTTGAATAATTCAGTATTTCATTATTCATGGCATACAGTAATTTTAAAAGTTACAGTATTTAGATTGAACAAAAGTACTTATAAATTAGATATTTATTCTTGCCTTTTTCTTACAGGAAGGTCCTAAACGTAAAAAAAACAGGAAACGTTCAAAGAAGAGGACACCTCTGATTGGGACCTGTACATCATCCAATCCAGGAGAGATCATAGGAGAGCCACCACAAAGACCAACCTTAGTATCTTCAGAAGTTGAAGCACTGCAGGTGGAGTCACCAAAGTCAGCAGAACTTGGAAATTGTCTTCGGCAGTCAAAAGTCACATCCCCAAGGAAAGGACCTTCACAAAAACCACTGTGCAATACTGGATCACAGAAAACAGAGCCTTTATTGTCAGGACTGCATGTAACACAGCCTAAACATACAGAGATAGCCAGTGGTGACCCTTCAAAGACAGCACTAAAAGTGGCTTCTTCAAATGGACCAGTTTCCACATTATTCACACTGAATGTTGAACAAACACAACAAAGGGCATCAAAGATCAAAAGTTCAAAGACAGCAAATACAGAATCTATGAAAATAACACAATCTAAAATTAGAACTTCAGAGTCTGAAACTCAGCCACAAGTGCTTTTAGAAGGCAAAACAAAATTGAAACAGGTAAATAAAAAATCTCCACAAAAGACATCGGCTTCATCAGAATTAAATGTTGCACAAGGGTGTAAATTACCCTTCATCCCTGTTTCAGAACTACTAGTAGCAGACACGCACTCATCATCCATCCCAGCTGTAAATGTAGAAAACACTCATTCAAAACCAAATGTGAAGGAGAAAAATACCTCATCAGTAACAGAGGAAACACATATGCCAAATTTACCCCCAATGCAGTTTGAACTGAATACAGTCATCATGTCTGAAGCAAAAAATAAGTTAGATCATCTGTGTAATCTTTTGGACAGTATTGTAATTGAACATAGTGGTAAGGAAGGATACAGCACTAATACTGTTATACCTGTTCTAGTTGACCAAACTGCCAAAGGAACATCAGAAGTCGCTGTTATCCCATCAAAATTTGAATCTCTCCCTGGTACTGTGTCAGAATGTCAAGGAGAAAAAACTAAGGAAGACATAGAACATGAAAGAAAGGCTCGAAAAGAAGCAAAAGCAATGAAGAAGAAAGGTGGAGACAAGAGTAAAAGTGAAAATGATAAACAGGAGAACTTTAATTGCATTAAAGTAGAGAAAAAGAAGGCAGTTCAACAAGGAAAGCCATTGGTAGTGTCTGCTGTTACTGAGGAGAAACTCCCTAGAGGCAAGCAGGAGCCATCAGGGTCATCTGTACCATCTCAGGGCACTAGCCAGGAAAGTACAACTGCAAAATCAAAAGCAGATTTGAAGAGAGAGAGGCGTGAAAAGCAGGAGGCTCAGAGACAAGCAAAAATGATAGCAAAGGCTAAAGAGGTAGAAAAGCAAACAAAGGGACAGGAACAGGTCCATCTTAGTAATGATAAAGCAAAGCCAGCTCCAAAGAAAAAGAAATCTGCAGGTGAAGGAGCAAAGCGATCGAGGGATAGAAGGATTCCCTTACTGGGTCACCTCCCTCTACATTTCTCACAGCTACCCATTTACCCTGTCAACTGTGATGACATCCATCCAGCTGTCAGAACTCTTGGATTGAAAATGAGGGTGATTATTTTATTTATTTTCTGAGTTCCACATTATATTCTTCATTCTATAACTACAGTCAATAACTGAACATCAAAATGATCCCTGAATCTGGAGTTTACACCACTTTACCAAGACCATTATATGTGTACTGTAAACCATTTTACTTTCAGGTAGTTTCAAGTCAGAATCACAAAGCTAATTTTGTAAATACTGCCTAAAAGTTATTCTTTGAAAATATGAAGAAACAAGAAACAATTCTCCAACAATACAAGTATCTCATTCTAGCACTTTCAATTTTTATTAGTTTAATTAAATTTTGGGTTTTGGACAAATCATTCAGAAAAAATTATGGTGAGGATTCTGACCCCAGTGCTTATGAATTAACAAAAATAAAAAAATGGACATAAGTGTTATATGCAAAATTAGGTGACGGTTATTTCATACACTTTTGAAAAGCCCAGGGTTATGCAGAGCACTTGGGGCAAACTAAAACTAGAACCTAACATTGTTTAGTCTGAGGTTATTTGAATGCTCTGTTGAATAAAAATAAGTTGTCTGCAGATAAGATTATTAAATGTAATGATAATTATTTTAGTAACAAAACTATTAAAATAACTATATTAATGTAAAGAGATGGTAATACAAAACTGTATTGTCAATCTTAGTTATAAAACTTTTTAGGGATACAAATATAGTGGTGACAGCAAGTGCCTGAGTTTGAATTAGATATATTTGAAATTTATATTTGAGATATGTAAATTTACATCAAATTCAGGTGATTTTTTTTTTTTTTTTTTTTTTTTCAAAGCATTTGGCAGTTAGGGAACTTCTAGGATTTTTTGAAATTCCGCAAGCATGTGTGAGCGTGTTTGATAGGAGTGAATGGAGATGAATGCTATTTTGGGACCTGACAAGCTGTTGGAGTGTGAGCAGGGTAATATTTTGTGAAGGGATTCAGGGAACCTGGTTAGCCGGACTTGAGCCCTGGAAGTGGGAACTACAGTGCCTGCACCTTAAAGGAGGGCTTTGGGATATTGGCAGTTTGGAGGGACATCTAAACTGTTGTATCTGGGCACCTCTGCAAAAACTGATTATGTATGAGTGATGGTGAAAGCGTTGAATGATGATGAAAGTTTTTTCTTTCTTTTGGGGTTTTTCTTTTTTAGGTCACCCTACCTAAGTGGGAAATGGTTGACGTGTTAAAAAAAATAAAGGAGAGCAGATGATAGAGTGGGAGAGGCACTGTCAAGAAATTTTAATGAAAATAAGAAAAAATTTTGGAGTGAGTTAAACAAGTTAAGAAAGCCTAGGGAAAGTATGGATTTGTCAGTTAAAAACAGAGTAGGGGAGTTAGTAGATTGGGAGATGGAGGTATTAGGTAGATGGCAAGAATATTTTGAGGAACTTTTAAATGTTAAGGAAGAAAGGGAGGCGGTAATTTCATGCACTGGTCAGGGAGGTATACCATCTTTTTGGAGTGAAGAAGAGCAGAATGTAAGTGTGGGGGAGGTACATGAGGCATTACATAGAATGAAAGGGGGTAAAGCAGCTGGAACTGATGGGATCATGACAGAAATGTTAAAAGCAGGGGGGGGATATAGTGTTGGAGTGGTTGGTACTTTTGTTTAATAAATGTATGAAAAAGGGGAAGGTACCTAGGGATTGGCGGAGAGCATGTATAGTCCCTTTTTATAAAGGGAAAGGGGACAAAAGAGATTGTAAAAATTATAGAGGAATAAGTTTACTGAGTATACCAGGAAAAGTATACGGTAGGGTTATAATTGAAAGAATTAGAGGTAAGACAGCATGTAGGATTGCGGATGAGCAAGGAGGTTTCAGAGTGGGTAGGGGATGTGTAGATCAAGTGTTTACATTGAAGTATATATGTGAACAGTATTTAGATAAAGGTAGGGAAGTTTTTATTGCATTTATGGATTTAGAAAAGACATATGATAGTGGATAGAGGAGCAATGTTGCAGATGTTGCAAGTATATGGAATAGGTGGTAAGTTACTAAATGCTGTAAAGAGCTTTTATGAGGATAGTGAGGCTCAGGTTAGGGTGTGTAGAAGAGAGGGAGACTACTTCCCGGTAAAAGTAGGTCTTAGACAGGGATGTGTAATGTCACCATGGTTGTTTAATATATTTATAGATGGGGTTGTAAAAGAAGTAAATGCTAGGGTGTTTGGGAGAGGAGTGGGATTAAATTATGGGGAATCAAATTCAAAAGGGGAAATTTGGGACACAGTTACTTTTTGCTGATACTGTGCTTATGGGAGATTCTAAAGAAAAATTGCAAAGGTTAGTGGATGAGTTTGGGAATGTGTGTAAAGGTAGAAAGTTGAAAGTGAACATAGAAAAGAGTAAGGTGATGAGGGTATCAAATGATTAGATAAAGAAAAATTGGATATCAAATTGAGGAGGAGGAGTATGGAAGAAGTGAATGTTTTCAGATACTTGGGAGTTGACGTGTCAGCGGATGGATTTATGAAGGATGAGGTTAATCATAGAATTGATGAAGGAATAAAGGTGAGTGGTGCGTTGAGGTATATGTGGAGTCAAAAAACGTTATCTATGGAGGCAAAGAAGGGAATGTATGAAAGTATAGTAGTACCAACACTCTTATATGGGTGTGAAGCTTGGGTGGTAAATGCAGCAGGGAGGAGACGGTTGGAGGCAGTGGAGATGTCCTGTCTAAGGGCAATGTGTGGTGTAAATATTATGCAGAAAATTCAGAGTGTGGAAATTAGGAAAAGGTGTGGAGTTAATAAAAGTATTAGTCAGAGGGCAGAAGAGGGGTTGTTGAGGTGGTTTGGTCATTTAGAGAGAATGGATCAAAGTAGAATGACATGGAAAGCATATAAATCTATAGGGGAAGGAAGGCGGGGTAGGGGTCGTCCTCGAAAGGGTTGGAGAGAGGGGGTAAAGGAGGTTTTGTGGGTGAGGGGCTTGGACTTCCAGCAAGCGTGCGTGAGCGTGTTAGATAGGAGTGAATGGAGACGAATGGTACTTGGGACCTGACGATCTGTTGGAGTGTGAGCAGGGTAATATTTAGTGAAGGGATTCAGGGAAACTGGTTATTTTCATATAGTCGGGCTTGAGTCCTGGGAAATGGGAAGTACAATGCCTGCACTTTAAAGGAGGGGTTTGGGATATTGGCAGTTTGGAGGGATATGTTGTGTATCTTTATATGTGTATGCTTCTAGACTGTTGTATTCTGAGCACCTCTGCAAAAACAGTGATAATGTGCGAGTGTGGTGAAAGTGTTGAATGATGATGAAAGTATTTTCTTTTTGGGGATTTTCTTTCTTTTTTTGGGTCACCCTGCCTCGGTGGGAGACGGCCGACTTGTTGAAAAAAAAAAAAAAAAATTCAGGGAAACCGGTTATTTTCATATAGTCGGACTTGAGTCCTGGAAATGGGAAGTACAATGCTTGCACTTTAAAGGAGGGGTTTGGGATATTGGCAGTTTGGAGGGATATGTTGTGTATCTTTATATGTATATGCTTCTAAACTGTTGTATTCTGAGCGCCTCTGCAAAAACAGTGATAATGTGTGAGTGTGGTGAAAGTGTTGAATGATGATGAAAGTATTTTCTTTTTGGGGATTTTCTTTCTTTTTTGGGTCACCCTGCCTCGGTGGGAGACGGCTGACTTGTTGAAAAAAAAAAAAAAAATATATATATATGTATATATGTGTGTATATATATATATATATATATATATATATATATTATATATATATATATATATATATATATATATATTTTTTTTTTTTGGGGGGGGGGAGCTTTTATTTGCATGGAGTTTCTACTTGGGTTTAGTTGAGCATGTGAGATATCAGAAATATTTTTTCTTGTATTGTGTTTGGTCACTTCCAAATTGCAAAGGTATTTTTAGTAATGTAGGATAAAGGGTAAGAAAAGCTGAATTTTGCTTTTTAATATTTGGTAATGTTTCAATGTGACTATAATTTCATGCAGTTAGGCACTGAATTGTTTTTTTAAAAGTCAAGTCCATTTCTTGAATCAAAATTTCATTAATTTCCTTAGTCAAGCATAGCACTGATGCATTTTTGGAATGGTGCTTTTGCTTTCATTTCATCCCAACAATTTTTAAGGGCATTCAGGGCTGTTACCTTGCAACTCGATAGCATTGATATTGTTCCATTCCAACTATTTCTTGACCTGTTGTAACATATGGCATGGGGCAGTGTATTGCTTAACCCTTTCAGGGTCTGTGCCTTAGATCTACGGCTTTACATTCAGGGTCCAAACCGTCGATCTACTCCATGCGCTCAGCTCACTCTGATAAGCTGTGAGTGGTAAATTTGGGCCTAGATATGAGAGAATACATCTATGTGGTATGTGTGCACCACATAAAACAAATCCTGCAGCAAACAGTGTATAATGGAGAAAAAAAAAACTGAGACCGTGATTTTCGATTAAAACAGCGACTTTGCAGTGTTTTTTCGTATGTTTTTTATGGTTGTATTTGCGATTTCTTGGTCTCATTTGATAGAATGGAAGACATATTACAGAAATATAGATGATTTTGATTGGTTTTAGCACTGGAAATGGCTTGAAACTGAGCTGAAAGTAGCGGAAATGTTAAATTTTTGCTTATGTTCAAGAGTAAACAAACGACCTCACACGTCTAATACACGCCAGCTGGTGGGTCTAATATACATTCACAAATGTGGTGATGATAGTTATACAATTATTACAATATTGCATAACAGTAAATCTTCTATTTTTTGGTTTGAATAAAAATTCATTATGTAAATAAAAAATCAAAATGGAATTCATTTGTAAAGCCTCAAAACATAACTAATGAACAGAGGAAATGTTAGTTTAGTGCCAGGAATACCTACATTGTTTATTCTGGACCCTATTTTGAAATGGGAATATTTTGAACTTTGTGTTAAATTGGCCAAATTACCAATTTCCGATCACTTTATTTTGTAGTTGAAACAGTTGACTTGGTGATTTCTTGTGCTCAGTTGATAGAATAGAAGTAATACTAGTGAAATAGCTAAGAATTTGGTCGACTGGCGTAATGTAATTGGCCTAAAATGGGAGTCAAAGTCGGCAAAATCGCCGATTCATAAATATCGCTGACACATCAAAATTCGCGAGAGCATAATTTCGTCAATTTCCCATCAAATTTCATACTTTTTGTTTTATTACCTCCAGAAAAAGATTCTCTACCATTTCATAAAAAAAATAAAATTTTTTTTTTTGAAAATTCTTGGACCCTGGTGTGCACTTTGAAATTTGGCCTCTGGACCCTGAAAGGGTTAAAGGTTGTGGTGACATTAATCTTGTGGAATGTGAGGAAATGTTTCGTGAATACATCTACATAATAAACTCCGTTCATTGTGTTTTGGAGCAGGGAATATAACCTCCCCAACCCTTTAATTCACTAAAGAAGTCCCACATCACTCCGTCAGAGTGTTTCGTGGTTTTTAACTGTGTAACTGGGCGAGTAGTGACTGACAGATAACAAACGTCTGACTCATTCTCAATGTACAGCCACTCTTTGAAAGGAGAACTTGTTTTTCAAGATAACCTTAGTCGAGTCTTGAGTAATCCATTGTTCACATTGTTTTGTAAACTGGAGTCATTTGATTGGAATTTTTTACTAGAAGAGGTTTCTTGGCAGGAGTTCTAGATTGCATCCCAAGCTCTTTCTGGAGAAGTTGCTGTATGGTTCTTAATGATAAGTGTCCCCAGTAAATCAGGTTTTTTTTTTTTTTTTTTTTTTTTTTTTTTTTAAGTCAGGCTGTTGTTATTCAAGATTATCAGTAGCACCCAAACTCTCACTAACCTGTCCATGCCTTGGTTTCTTAAGGGAAGAGGTGTAAGAGAGCTGAGCATGATGGGCAGAGATGAAACTAAATGGTGGATTGCCCACAACTAATACAAGCACAAATTATAATTCTAGGAGTCAGACATGAGTAATGAAGAACTGCTTGTCACACAGTTATGTATGCATACGACCCAATGTTATTTGTGGAATCTGTGTAGTATGCACAGTAATCAAAGTGGATATTTTATGTTGAGTAAGTTTAAACTTTTTAGTGATCTTTCTAATAGATTTGTGTTGAGCTATGATGGGTTTTAGTTGATGTACTTTTGTAGATCCCAAAGCACATACATGTATTCCAAAAGTGAGGTAAAGATAGTTTATAAACGTAGAGATAGTATAGAGTGGGTTATGTTGTTTGTGTTACATGATAATGTATTTTTTAAAGAATACCCACAATTTTAGAAATTTTATTAGATCTGTTGAGTTATAGTTTGCTGTCAGGGTACTGTATATTCCTAAGAAGTTTCCCACATTTTTGCTTTTCCTGTTCAGTATATAATACCTACTTTTATGTTTAATTGAATATAGCATTATTCTCCAACTCTATGTGCAGAATGAAAAACTAATGTAAAAGACTTGGGAGTGATAATGTCAGAGGATCTCACCTTCAAAGACCACAACATAGTATCGATCGCATCTGCTGGAAAAATGACAGGATGTATAGTGAGAACCTTCAAAACTAGGGATGCCAAGCCCATGATGACACTCTTCAGGTCTCTTGTTCTATCTAGGCTGGAATGTTGCTGCACACTAAAAGCACCTTTCAAGGCAGGTGAAATTGCTGACCTAGAAAATGTACAGACGACCTTCATGGCACACAACTGTGATAAAACACCTCAATTACTGGGAACACTTGAAGTTCCTCAATCTGTACTCCCTAGAATGCAGGTAGGAGAGATGCATGATTATATACACTTGGAAAATCCTAGAGGGATTAGTACCAAACTTGCACACAAAAATCTCTCCCTGTACAGTGGACCCCCAAATTTCGTGATTAATCCATTACAGAGAGTCTGCCAAAAGTCGAAATTCACAAATTTCAAAACCATTTTCCCCATAAGAAATAATGTAAATCTAGTAATCCATTCCAAACACCCAAAAGTATTAACAAAAATCATTTTTTTTTTTTAAGTTAAATATAGATTTACATACAGAAAAGAACGAGAAATCAAGTATAAAACAATAGTAACATAACACTTACCTTTATTGGAGACTCTTGTTGGTGTATGGAAGACGGGAGGAGGGGAGAGGATGGGGAAGTGTCACTATTGTTTGGAAGGGGAATCCCTTTCCATAAAGACTAGGTACCAAGTCCTTATCCAGGGTTACTTCTCCTCTTAGTTTTTTAATGCCACTAGGATCAGCTTGAGAGTCACTGGAGCCCTGTCGCTCAAAAAATTGTTCTAGAGAGCTCTGTTTTGGTGTCTCTTTAAAATTTGCCTAAAATGGGACAAGGCATTGTCATTGCACATGTTGCTGACACAGCTTGCAACAGGTTTGTTAGGGTGATGTTTCTCCACAAATGTCTGCACCCTACTCTACATTGCACAAATCTCCTTAATCTCTGAAGAAGGCACCTTCTTCCATCTCTCTTCCTCTTGTGAAGCAATTTTCTCAGCTGTGGTCTGTTGCTGTTGCAGATGAAGCTCTTGCAGCTCTTCAGTGGTTAGCTCTTCACTTTGGTCCTCCACCAACTCTTCCACATCCTCACCACTCACATCCAACCCCATGGAATTCCCAAATGCCACAATAGATTCCACAACAGGTGTAGGGTCGACAGGGTCAGCCTCAAATCCTTCAAAATCCCTCTCGGACACATTCTGGCCACAATTTTCTCCAAGCAGAGTTCAAAGTCCTGGAAGTCACTCCCTGCTAAGCCTTATCTATAAGGCTTATGCAATTGAGGACATTGAAGTGATTCCTCCAGAACTCTCTTAGGGTCAATTCAGTGTCTGAGGTCACATTAAAGCACCTTTGAAACATTGCTCTGGTGTAGAGTTTTTTGAAGTTTGAAATGATCTTCTGGTTCATGGACTGGATGAAACTAAATTCCTCCACCATTTGGTCATCCAAGTCTGGAGGATGAGCAGGTGCATAGTCCATTACCAGGAGGCACTTGAGTGGCAATTTATTTTCCAGGAGGTATTCCTTCACACTTGGGCCAGACACTTCATTGAACCATCAAGGAAAATTTCCCTTATGACCCATGCCTTACTCTTAGCCTTCCACATCACACACAATTTACTCTTGGCAAAACTTTGAAATCCCCACTAGCATTACCACAGAACAAGAGAGTTAGCCTGTCTTTTATAGGCTTGTGTCCTGGCAGTGCCTTTTCCTCCTGTGTGATGTAGGTCTTCTTTGGCATTTTCTTCCAAAAGAGGCCTGTTTTATCACAGTTGAACACTTGTTGGAGGAGGAATCCTTCATCCTCTACATACACCTTGAATTCATGCATGAATTTTTCAGTCGCACATTTGTCAGAACCTGCAGCCTCGCCATGCCTTACCACACTGTGTATGCCACTACGCTTCTTAAATCTCTCAAACCAGCCTTTGCTGGCCTTAAATTCACTAACATCAGCACTCGTTCCAGGCATTTTCTTTACAAGATCAGCATGCAGCTGCCTTGCCTTTTCACAAATTATTGTCTGCATAACACTATCTCCTGCTAACTGTTGATCCACACCAACAAATAATTCTCAACATCTTTGATTATTTGTGATATCTTTTTTGTGAGCATATCTACCCCTTGCGCAACAACAGCTTCCTTGATTTTCTTTTTCTTCGCCACGATGGAAGTGATCATTGAATGGGATTTCCCATACATCCTGCTGAGGTCGGCCACACGCACTCCACTTTCATATTTGGTGATGATTTCTTTCTTTAATTCTATCGTGTTTCTCACCTTCTTTACCAAAGGGCTGGCACTAGGATCTTTCTTTGGGCCCATGGTGGCTTATTTAGCAGTTGCAAGCACAAAAAAGAATGGATTATTATGAAATGTATTGTATGAACGCGTGGGGTGATGGTTACTCGCCCAGAAACAATGCCACACTGACTGAATGGTGTATGGGAACCTTTGTGTGCAAGCGGCCGCTGGGAGGCCGCTCGGACATGTTCCATACAACTGCCAAATTTTGGGGCAAATCACGAAACGCGAGCTATATTTTAACAAAAAAAGTTGCTGAAAGGCCAAATTCACGAAGTGCAGGGCTCATGAAACTAGGGGGTTCACTGTAAAAGCAAAAGACTCGGCAGATGATGAAACATCCTCCCACTGAAAAGCAGGGGTGCCACTAGCACAATAAGAGACAACACAATAAGTGTGAGGGGCCCTAGACTGTTCAACTGCCTCCCAGCATATATAAGGGGAATTACCAGTAGACCCCTGGCTGTCTTCAAGAAGGCGCTGGACAGGCACCTAAAGTCAGTACCCGACCAGCCGGGCTGTGGTTCATACCTCGGATTGTGTGTGGCCAACAGTAACAGCCTGGTTGATCAGGCCCTGATCCACCATGAGGCCTGGTCACAGACCGGGCTGCAGGGGCATTGACCCTCGAAACCCTCTCCAGGTAGTATTCATTGTGATTTTTTGGGTGGGTTGTCATTTTTGTTGTTTGATGTATAAAGTGTTAAAGGGCCATGAAGTTTTTAATGCTGTAAATGATAGGACAAAATAAGATTACCATAGCAGTACTGATTAACTATGAATCTCTTGATCCTTACCTTTTCAGATAAATGAGGTTTAACTACATTTTTACTTGAAATTTATTTTGAAATTCTGTACATTACATTAACTTTAAATATGGTCAGAGTTCATGAACTAAAACTGTATCTACTGGGACCCTTTCTTCATCACGCTTGCACGCTTGACTAATTATTTTATTAATTTTAATAGGACCGTATTGTGGATGGCTCAACAGCTAGAGTTGTTTCTACGCTGGCTGCTCTGAAACGATTCATTAATGATTATCGAACACCCGAGTCATGTGATCTTTCTCGTGATTTAGCTGAAAAATTGCTGCCAAATGTGGCATTTCTCAATGCTTGTCGACCTCATGCTATTGCCATGGACAATGCTATACGGTACAATAATTTTCTTGTTATTAAAAATGGTAGAGAATAATAGATTTCTTTTACTTAACATTTGGATTGAAGAATGTATGTTTCCACTCCTAAAGTAAAATCTACTTTTTAGTGAAATGTCTTGTCCAGAGAAAGTACTGTATATTGCTATAATTCTCACTTATGTTTTTAACATTATTAAAAATTTGTTTGTTTATCAGGTTCTTAAAGCATAAGGTGAATAGCATCGAGGCAAGCATGCCTGAAGCACAAGCCAAGGATGAATTACGAACAGCTATCGATGATTACTTACAAGAGAACATAAACCTGGCCAGCAGCACCATAGCTTCACATGCTGCATCCCTCATCGATGACGGAGATGTTATTCTTACTTTTGGATAGTATGTAAAAACTCTTATTTCACTCATTTGAAGGAGGGAACTTTAGTATAGACACACTCAAAATAATATATCTGAACCTTGTTTTTATTTTCTTATTGTAGCACAGATTGTGGCATTAGCAAGTTTCTAGTAATAAATATTGTAGTAGGTAGAATAAATTTATAACTAGGTGTCATTTGCTTTATGTAGTAGGTGCCTTCCAAACCCTTAGCTCAGTCAGCCCATAAACACTTAATTTAGCATAATAAGAATCTTCAGTGTTTTGCCAACTAACTGCATGTAGGAAATATATATCACATATAGAATTACCTATTGAAGTGAGACTATAAAAGTGAATTTAATTCTTATAACCAGTGTAACTAATTTAGGTTGCACCTTTAATTGAAAGGAAAATCTTATAAATAATTTAAAAAATTCCTTTAATTTTGTTTATGCTATCAGTTCTGCTGTGTTGATTGAGGTGGTTGAAGCTGTTTGTAAAGGAGGTAGTAACATAAGTGTTGTGGTGGTGGATTCTCCACACCCTTCTTCCGGTGTGTCTATGGTCAAGAAACTCTCCTCCATGAGTGTCACTACTTACTACCGCCTCATTACAGACGTCACACATATTATGCACAAGGTAAGTGTTATTTCAAGAAAAGGCTATAATATTACTTTCATAATGTTACCAGGGATATTGAGAAACCATGTGAAATTTAAGTCTGGCTTTAAAAGTAATATAGATGTCTGTTTGAACATAGAAGATGTAACTGTTTTGAGGCATATTGTAGAGGAACTTCATACAGAATTAAAGGATGTTTCTTAAGTTGAGAAAACTTTGCAAACTTCCTGATTTAACTTCATCTTTTTATTCACTCAGAATCACTGAGAAGTGCTTTTGTATTTAGTATTAAGAAATGTTTTTAATTGCAGGTCACCAAAGTTGTGGTAGAGGCCGAGGCAGTGATGATGAATGGGGCGATTCAAGGAATATGTGGCACTGCTGGCTTAGCCCTGGCTGCAGCTACTCATGACACACCTTTTATTGTGCTCTGTCACACCTACAAGTTCTGTAACAATGACCTCACTGACTCTCTGGTTATTAATGAATTAGGTGAGAGCAGAAGCATATCTCTTCTCTATTGGTTGTCTCCTGAATATATTATCACTAGTGTAACTATCAAAACCAGGAAGCTAGAGCAGTGACTTGCATTATGCTTGGGCCCAGTTCAAATTCCTCCATTTCTTTCAAGAAAAATGCTGTTGTATATTGAGTTTTCTAACTGAATGTGTTTAGTCTCCTTGAAAATATTTGCTACATCCCAATATTTCCATATACAGTATGTGTAAAGCCATTTACAGATATACTCTTGATAGGCTTTCCTTACATCTTTAATTCTGGTCCTTATTTTGGGTCTTCCACCTTAGACTGGTCCCTTTTTTTTTCACTCATCAACTTTTGTGTCCAGGTCTCTGCAGTCACTATTTTGGTTGTGGCTGCAGATGTTCACGCATCACCACCTTCTACCCAACACCTTCATAGCTAGGTGGTCTGTGAAGAAGCATAAAAATATCTTCACAGTGCTCAACAAGGAATGGTTCCAAGTGTACTAACAGCCAAGAAATTGGAGAAATTCTGGCATATGCAAGTAACCATTAAGGGCTTTATATTATTATTATTATTATTATTATTATTATTATTAATTTTAATTAATATTACAGCATATTGACACCAAAGTGATAAACTTGAATGGGTCATTCAGCATTAATGGGCTTTGTAGCAGTTACTGTACCTTATTAATGCATACCCTTCTCATACTTGCTTGTCCCAGGTTAATAATGACTGTCTTAGTAGGGGACACTGGAGTAAAAGGATAGGGATTCTCTGATGGCTATCTACATGCCTTATAACCTTTGTCATAGGAATTTTTGCTCCCTTCAGCCCAGTCTTAGACTGGGGTTCCTAAGAACTATTATGAAACAAAGGAAAGTAAAGTGTTTACTGAATGTAAGTAACTTTACCCTAATCAATGAATACAAGCTGATTGATTCAGCAGGATCAGCACTGAGCCTCCCATTTTTATCTTTATCTTCCCAACAAAGAATTAGTTTCCCACCAGTGAGTCAACTATTTAAGTAGACCTAACTTTCAGGTGAAAGATAACATAGAATATGCAGATTATCATTCATCACATGGAAATAGCACCTAGTCTTCTCAGCCTGGTTTCTCTTGGTATAGGAAGTCCTAGTATGTACAGGACAACCCTCTACCGCTTAACCCCTTGACTGTCGCAACCCCAAATCCTGAGGTGTCTCCTGGTGTCACAAAATTTCCGAAAAAAATTATTTTTTTTGAAATGATAGAGAATCTTTTCCCAATTGTAATGACACCAAAAGAACGAAATTTGATGGAAAACTGATGGAATTACGCTCTCGCAAGTTAGCGACCTCAGCGATATTTGCGAATCAGCGATTTCGCCCACTTTGAGCCCTATTTTCGTCTAATTCCATTGCTCCAGGCGACCAAACTCATAGCTATTTCTTTAGAACTCCATTTTTTCTATCGATTAAGTACAAGAAACTCCCCATTTACTGATTTCAGCTACCCAATAACGTGGTCAGAAATTTGCAATTTGGCCAATTTTACAAAAATTAAAAAATATGACAATTTCAAAATAGGGTCCAGAATGAACAATGCAGATATTCCTGGCTCTAAAATAACATTTTCTTTGTTCATCAGTCATGTCTCCAGGCCCCTCTGATATTACTCTTGCTTTCTATTTTGAATTTTTATTCAAACAAAACATAGACTACTGCAATATTGTAATAATTTTATAAATAATGTCAACTCATTCATGACTGTATATTAGAATGGCTACTTGGACATTTATTGGAAAATGACATCATTTGTTTACTTTTGAACATCTGCAAAAATCAAACATTTCTCTTACTTTGAGTGCCATTTCAAGGTTCTTTTCATAGTAAAACCAATCAAAATCACCTCTTTTTCTATAATATGTTTTCCATTCTATCAAATGAGACCAAGAAAATGAGAATACAACCATAAATACTATATGAAAATAGACCATAAAGTCGGCATTTTAAATAAAAAAACGATTGGAGCTTTTTTTTTCTCATGCACTGCGTACTGCAGGATTTTTTTATATTGTGCACTCTGACCACACAGACCCATTCTCTCACATGTGGGCCTACCAGCTTTCTCCTGCTTGATTTGAAGCCACTAGAATTTATGAGTATACATGTATATATGTCAAACACGGTGGCTCGTAAGACGTATATATACGACCGAAACAATCAAAGGGTTAAGGCTTCCCTTTCTCTTTCATGCAGGCTGCTTTAGAGTGTGAACTGATTGTGTCTGGTTAGGGAGCCCAGATTCTTTCTGTATCCTCTTTTGAAGAGTACTGCAGGTAAATCTTTTTCAGCAGTGGATGATGAACCTTAAGTGTCAAGCTCTAGTAATAATGGTGGCCAGATTTCTCAATCAAAATTCAGTATGTACCTTGAAGGTTAAAGTCTTTGCCCATTTAACTGTCAAAACTACCATATTAAAGCACCTGGAAGTTGGTAATTTGGCCATTGCTACACTATATTCAACAAATTCCAAAACAAATACTGTAAAGTAAAAGGACACAAGTGCAACTAATGTGACATTTTATTGTGGCAACGTTTCGCCCTCCATGAGCTTTGTCAAGCTGTTACAAACAGTACATGGACACAGAAGGTATATACAGTGGTCCCTCGATAATCGTCGGGCTCAATAGTTGTCCTTTTCGGAAATCGTCGCGTTATTTTTGTCCAAACATTGGCTCTCAAATGGTCGGTTGACTCGCTAATCGTCATTCGTCCTGGACACATACATACGGCTCTGAGCCGCCTCGGCCTCTCTTCCCAGCCAGTGTGCCATTGTTTACCAGTGAGCGACGGTCCCCTCACTTGTTCATACGAAATACAGTGGACCCCTGCCTTACGATATTAATCCGTTCCTGAGAGCTCATCGTAAGCCGAAATTATCGTAAGGTGAATTAATTTTCCCCATAAGAAATAATGGAAATCAAATTAATCTGTGCAAGACACCACAAAGTATGAAAAAAAAAAATTTACCACATGAAATATTAATTTTAATACAAGACAGTGATGGAGTGCCACCCTGCTTTGGTGGGAATTGGCCAGTGTGTTAATAATAATAAACACACAAACTGAAGAAGACATGCACAATTACTACTCTACTAAGAATAGAATACATGACACTTACCTTTATTGAAGATCTGGTGATGATTGATGGGATGGGAGGAGGGGAGAGTGTGGAAGTTGTTATTGTTTAGAAAGGGGAATCCCCTTCCATTAGGACTTGAGGTAGCAAGTCCTTTTCTGGGGTTACTTCCCTTCTTCTTTTAATGCCACTAGGACCAGCTTGAGAGTCACTGGACCTCTGTTGCACAACAAATCTGTTCCTTTAAGACTTTCCTAAAATGGGCCATAACATTGTCATTGTACAGGTTGCCAACACGGCTTGCAGTAGCTGTGTCAGGGTGATTTTCATCCATAAAGATTTGCAGTTCAACCCACTTTGCACACATTTCCTTAATCTCTTTTTTCAATTCCATGCTAATTCTCGCCCTTTTTACCACAGGGATGGCACTAGAAGCTTTCTTGGGGGCCATGGTGACTTACTTTGCAGTTACAAGCACTAAAAACACTGGAATAATGTGAAATATACCGAATGTATGTGTAGATGCAACAGCACTGGCTGGCTTATAAACATTGGCGCTGAGGCCACACGTGGGACGTGTCCCAAACGAATCACGTAAGGAGAGTTTTTTAGCATGAGGTGAGGCAAAATTTTTGCGTTAAAATGTATCGTATGGCGGATTTAACGTAATGCAATGCCATCGTAAGGCGGGGGTCCACTGTATTTCATAATATTCCATTCATTTTAGTGCTTGCAAGTGCTAAATAAGCTACCATGGCTCCAAAGAAAGCTCCTAGTGCCAAGCCTTTGGTAAAAAACGTGAGAAATATGATTGAATTTAAGAAAAACATCATTGAACAATATGAAAGTGGCATACGTGTGGCCGAACTGGCCAGGATGTATAACAAACCCCATACAACCATATCTTCCATTGTGGCAAAGAAAAAGGAAATCAAAGAAGCTGTTGTTGCTTGGAGAAAATTGGGGATTTTGAAGGGTTTGTGGCTAACCCTGATGAGCCTATGTCAGTTGTGAAATCTATTGTGGCATTGGGGAGTTCCATGGGGTTGGATGTGAGTTTGGAGGATGTGGAAGAGTTGGTGGAGGACCACAATGAAGAGCTAACCACTGAGGAGCTGCAAGAGCTTCAGCAGGAACAGCAACAGATCGCAGCTCAGAATTTTGCTGCAAAGGAGGAGGAATAGAGATGGAAGAAGGTGCCTTCTTCAGAAATTAAGGAGATTTTTGAAATGTGGGGTAGGATGGAAAAATTTATGGAGAAACATCACCCTGAGAAGGATGTTGCAAGCTATATTGGCAACTTGTACAGTGACAGAGTCTTGGCCCATTTTAGGGAAGTTTTAAAGAGACGCCAGAAACAGAGCTCTCTGGACACTTTTTTTTGCGAGACAGGACTCCAGTGACTCTCAAACTGGTCCTAGTGGCATTAAGAAACAGAGAAGAGAAGTATGTAACCCCAGAAAAGGACTTGGTACCTGAGGTGTTGATGGAAGGGGATTCCCCTTTCAAATTGTAACTAATCCAATCTCTCTCCTCCTCCAGTCTTCCATACACTAAGAAGAATTGCCAATAAAGGTAAGTGTTATGCTGTTAATGTTTCATCCATCATGTCACATTGTATTGTTTATGTACTACATCTATATTTCATGTAAAAATTTTTTTTGCTTTAATACTTCTGGGCGTCAGGAATGGATTAATTGTATTTACACTACAGGTCTCCCTCAATATTCACGTTTTCAGCTTTCGCGGGCTTCACACATTCGCGAATTCCCAACCGCCAAATTCCCAGCCACCAAATTCCCAGCCGCCAAATCATATTCAAGTTTCCCGCCACCTGCGAGTCCCTACTACCCTCCCTCCGACCCCTGCAACTGGCAGCCAGCCCTCCCACCACTCAGTGTGGTGAGTGTTTTGTTTGTTCATTATTTGCTATTAAACTACAGTATAAATAATGTAAACACATTCATGACTGCATATTGGAATGGCTATTTGGACAGGTATTAGACGGTGACATCATGTGTTTACTCTTGAACACAGCAAAGAATCAAACATTTCTGCTACTGCTAATAATAACAATAGTAATAATAATAATAATAATAATAATAAATACGATATAATTGAAGAAGGAAATTGTACAAAAATACGAGGGAGTGGTTGACACATCGTCAGTGTGGCTTTGTTTATGCTGGAGTGAGCATTAGTCTCCCTGCTCTTCCAAACATTTCACAATAATTCGTTGTGTTTGGTGCTTGTAGAATGAGTGCGACTGGAGTGGTTGAGGCAGTAGTAGAGGCAGTGATAGAGGCAGTGGTAGAGGCAGTGATAGAGGCAGTGATAGAGGCAGTGGTAGAGGCAGTGTAGGGGCAGTGTAGAGGCAGTGATAGAGGCAGTGGTAGAGGCAATGATAGAGGCAGTGGTAGAGGCAGTGATAGAGGCAGTGGTAGAGGCAGTGGTAGAGGCAGTGATATTTACTAACATATATGTTATAAAATAATAATATGTAACAATTATAATAAATTTATTATTACATTATTTTTATTATAATGTATATTAGTATATACCACTCCCTATTTAATTATTTATAGTAACTAACGTATAGTGTTTAGTAAACATTATCACTCAGCATAAAAAACCCACTGCATCTGTAACACTCCCTCGTATTTTTCAATTGTCCTCCTCAATCTATATGCTCTTACTACCACTGCCTCAAGCGAAATTTAAATGTTTGGAAAGGCAGGGAAAAGATAAATTTCACTCCAGCATTACAAAGCCACACTGTAGATGGTGCTTTACCACTACCCTCGTTTTTAATGAAACATTACCCCTTCAATTATATCGTATTATTATTATTATTATTATTATTATTATTATTATTATTATTATTATTATTATTATTATTATTATTACTATTGTTATTATTAGCAGTAGCAGAAATGTTTGATTCTTTGCTGTGTTCAAGAGTAAACACATGATGTCACCGTCCAATACCTGTTCAAATAGCCATTCCAATATGCAGTCATGAATGTGTTTACATTATTTATACTGTAGTTTAATAGCAAATAATGAACAAACAAAACACTCACCACACTGCGTGGTGGGAGGGATGGCTGCCAGTTGCGGGGGTCGGAGGGAAGGTAGTAGGGACTCGCAGTGGTGGAGGAAGTGGTGGAGGCAGGGGTGGAGTCTGTGGTATTTAATAACATACGTTATTAAAGCATAACATGTATATATTTAGTACAATTTACGACGTTTTCATGTATTTTATGATTGTTCATGGTTCAACAAGTTAAGCAGTATTGTATTATATTTCCCTACAATATATTGGGGCACCAAACATTCACGGTTTTCAACATTCGCGAGGCTCTTGATCCCCTAACCCTCACGAATGTTGAGGGACACCTGTATTTCTTATGGGGAAAATTGATTCGAAAATCGTCTATTTCAATAATTGTCGCACTTCCAGGAACGGATTAACAACGATAAACGAGGGACCACTGTATAGGCTTAGAGTGAGGTGCAATACTAGTGGTAGTAGTAGTGATATAAATAGTAGTAGTAATATAAGTAGTAGTAGTAATACTTATATCACTACAACTACTATTACCACTAGTATTGCACCTCACCCTGAGCCTATATATACCCTCTGTGTCCATGTACTGTTTGTAACAGTTTGACACAGCTCCTGGAGACCGAAACGTTGCCACAATAAAATGTTACATTAGTTGCACTTGTGTCCTTTTACTTTACATATTATCGGTAATTCTACCAAAATATACACAAAACAAATACTGTAAGTCTTCAACCCACTAAAGTAGCCTTCCCTATGTTTATTTATCATGTCCCCAGGCCTCTCCAGTATAACATGTCCTTCATTTGAATCTATCATCACACAAAAAAGTTAACGTTTTTTATACCTATTTCTCGGCTAATAAACCATAACCAAGAACGCTTGTTCAAATTCTAGGCTATCCCAATAATTGAATGGAACCTGTTAAAAAAAATCCATAAAATGCATAAAATCAATCATTTCTGCAAATTTGGCCACTTTCAATCTGAAACTGACCAACATCTTATCTGTTAAACAGTATGTCTTCCATTTGTCTAGTAGCAATAAGAATTAGCCACAAAAACCATGAAAACCACTCTAGAAAATGCCCCAAAGTTGCTATTTTAACTCAGTTGCAGAGTCAGAAGTTTGCTAGGTTAGGTAAGACAAGGTTCATCAGGAAACAGGACAAGTGTTTCTTGATGTGGGTCTTAGTCATATGATGACCTGTCATTGGAGCTTTTGGTCATCTGACCGAGGCCTTCTTCTGGCTTACCGGTCCACCCCTTTAAAAATTTTGGTCATAGTTATAACCATATTTCTGTAGAAGTTAGCTGCTCTCATTATGCACTGCATGGGGAAGAATTTTTTTTTTTATACTACACACCCACTGCACAGACCCATTGTATTGTATGTGGATCTGTGTGAGTGACACTGATCCCCCAGACTCAGCCACAGAGGTTATGATTCCTGGAACCATCAAGAGATACGTATATAGAATAGGTAATTAATGAACCAACACTGATGTAACCATCTGCCTTATAGTGACCTCTTGAACCACATGCAGTGGTACCTTGACTTATGAGTTTAATTTGTTCCGTGACTGAGCTTGTAACTCAATTTGCTTGTATATCATGCCGATTTTCCTCATTAAAATTAAATGAAATGCCATTAATCCATTCCAGCCCCCTAAAAAACAGTGCGTTTCAATAAAAACCTGTCCAAGGAGGTTTGTTTCATCCTCCCTTTCAGAATGTTTTGGAAATGAGTTAGGCAAGTGTCATGAAAAAGCGCCGATACACGACCAGTTGCAACTTTTTCTGGGTGTTTCATTTCAATAAACTCTGAAAGTCTCTCCCTAATTCTTAACATTTCCTCTATCTCGCTTGTAGAGATAACCTCCTCCACATCTGACTCCTCCGCGGTACCAGTTTCCTGTAAAACCTCTATGCTGCTGTGTCTGTAGTTCCTTTAACTCCTCCGCCATCAGTTCCTCAGAGTGCTCCTCGATGACATACGAGCAGCGGCTTGATCTTGCAGTCGCACTGTGCACCACTCGCATTGGCACACAGTGCGAGCGTTAACCTATCCTTCATGGGTTTGTGGCATAGCATCATGGTTAGAAAAAAAGATATTTGGGAAAAAAACTGCACAAAACGCAAGCACAACACGAGAGATGCTTCCACGGCAAGGTAACCACATGCACTGAATGAGTGAGACGCAGGATCCTGGGTGGATGTTGTGGCATTTGCTGTGCCAACTAGTGGCAGCGTATCTGAAAGCTCTCTCGTAACTCTGATTTTGGCTCACAACTCAAAGCAAAAAATCGACCAAGCGACAGCTTGTAACTTGGAAAACCTGTAAGTTGGGGCACTTGTAAGTCAAGGTACCACTGTAGTATTTGGTTTATCTTTGAGAAGTGGTTAGGTCAGTGAGCCATATAGACAAGCAGTTTTTTTATATGTGTAACTTAAATCACTAAACCAATGTGGATCATTCAGGAGTAGTGGAAACTTCAGCCTCCATCTTCCAGTTGCTCTCCTGTGTAAAAATTCAAGCAAATTCACCTTTTCCATTTATTTGTCCATTCTTTCAGCATCCTACACATTTTCTGTGTTAATATGAACATCCTGAAAAGTCGATTACTAAATGCTCAAGTCCTCTATGGGCTGCTGCTCCTGCCCTTATCTCAGGTAATAATGTTATGATGTTTTGTTTCTTCCCTCAGGAGATGCAGACAGTATTGTTTCATGCCCATCAAGAGAATACTTTGGTCTTCTTGATAACTGGCGAGAAACCCAGAACTTAAATGTTGTTAGCCTTGTCTATGATGTGACACCAGCCTGCTTGGTAACAGCTCTTGTTACAGAGCAGAGTGTTTTGCCAACATCTGCTGTACCTGTGATCATCCGTCGCAATTATGCTGATATTCTCGGCCAGGACTAATTGATACTTTTTTTGTAATTTTGGTGTGTGACATTCTACATTTATAATTTATTTTCAAATTCTTATTTACTATACATATTAATGGGTAGGTTCCCTTTTAACATTGCTTTCTTGAAACTTAATAGAAATAAAGAAGTAAAGGATAACAGTTTTATATACCTCTGTAACTGTATATTACATTGACAATTTTAAGAGCAAATTAATATTTTAATATTATAATGCACCTTATAGTTTTCTTTATAAAAATTAATTACATCCATGTTTTAACTGCACCATATACAGGTCTCCCTCAACATTCGCGTTTTCAACTTTCGCGGGCTTCACACATTCACAAATTCCCAACTGCCAAATTCCCAGCCGCCAAATCATATTTAAGTTTCCCGCCACCTGCGAGTCCCTACTACCCTCCCTCCGACCCCGCAACTGGCAGCCAGCCCTCCCACCACTCAGTGTGGCGAGTGCTTTGTTTGTTCATTATCTGCTATTAAACTATAGTATAAATAATGTAAACCCATTCATGACTGCATATTGGAATGGCTATTTGGACAGGTATTGGACGGTGACATCATGTGTTTACTCTTGAACACAGCAAAGAATCAAACATTTCTGCTACTGCTAATAATAACAATAGTAGTAGTAATAATAATAATAATAATAATAATAATAATAATAATAATGCGATAGAATTGAAGAAGGAAATTGTACAAAAATGCGAGGGAGTGGTTGACACATTGTCAGTATGGCTTTGTTTATGCTGGAGTGAGCATTGGTCTCCGTGCTCTTCCAAACATTTCACAATAATTCATTGTGTTTGGTGCTTATAGATTGAGTGCGACTGGAGTGGTAGAGGCAGTGGTTGAGGAAGCAGTTGAGGCAGTGGGCGAGGCAGTGGGTGAGGCAGTGGGTGAGACAGCGGGTGAGGCAGTGGTTGAGGCAGTGGGTGAGGCAGTGGGTGAGGCAGTGGGTGAGGCAGTGGGTGAGGCAGTGGGTGAGACAGCAGTTGAGGCAGTGGTTGAGGCAGTGGGTGAGGCAGTGGTTGAGGACGCGGTTGAGGCAGTGGGTGAGGCAGCAGTTGAGGCAGTAGGTGAGACAGCAGTTGAGGCAGTGGGTGAGACAGCGGATGAGGCAGTGGTTGAGGCAGTGGGTGAGGCAGTGGGTGAGACAGCGGATGAGGCAGTGGTTGAGGCAGTGGTATTTAATAACATACATGTTAATAATAATAATAATAATAATAATAATAAATATTAATAATATGTATTATTATTATTTATAACATGTTATTAAATACCACTGCCTCAACTGCTGCCTCCACCATTGCCTCAACCGCTGCCTCAACCCCTGCCTAAACCACTGCCTCTACCAGCGCCTCAACCGCTGCCTCAACTCCTGCCTCAACTGCTGCCTCAACCACTGCCTCACCCACTGCCTCACCCACTGCCTCACCCACTGCCTCACCCACTGCCTCACCCACTGCCTCAACCGCTTCCTCAACCACTGCCTCTACCACTCCAGTCGCACTCAATCTACAAGCACCAAACACAGTGAATTATTGTGAAATGTTTGGAAGAGCACGGAGACTAATGCTCACTCCAGCATAAACAAAGCCACACTGACGATGTGTCAACCACTCCCTCGTATTTTTGTACAATTTCCTTCTTCAATTCTATCGCATTTATTATTATTATTATTATTACTATTGTTATTATTAGCAGTAGCAGAAATGTTTGATTCTTTGCTGTGCTCTCAAGAGTAAACACATGATGTCACTATCCAATACCTGTCCAAATAGCCATTCCAATATGCAGTCATGAATGTGTTTACATTATTTATACTGTAGTTTAATAGCAAATAATGAACAAACAAAACACTCACCACACTGAGTGGTGGGAGGGCTGGCTGCCAGTTGCGGGGTCGGAGGGAGGGTAGTAGGGACTCGCAGTGGTTGAGGAAGTGGTGGAGGCATTGGTGGAGGCATTGGTGGAGGCAGTGGTATTTAATAACATACATGTTATTAAACCATAACATGTATGTATTTAGTACAATTTATGACATTTTCATGTATTTTATGATTGTTCATGGTTCAACAAGTTAAGGAAGCAGTATTGTATTATATTTCCCTACAATATTTTGGGGCACCAAACATTCACGATTTTTCAACATTTGCGAGGCTCTTGATCCCCTAACCCTCGCGAATGTTGAGGGAGACCTGTAGTTTTTCTTATAAAAATTATTTACATCCATGTTCTAACTAAGTAAAGTTGTGGGAAAGCTGAAGTCTAGAGTTATTAATTTCAAATTAATTTTGTGTCTGAGATTTTTTTCACAGAATCTCAGTCACGCTTATGTAAGAAGTAAATTGTCACTGAAATAATTTGTATAAATAGGTAGGTTGCTCCAGTCACAGTGAGAGCAAAGTTCATGGTAAGGGCAAAGTTCAAGTACTTGGCAATGCAGAACTTCCTGAGTCAACACGTCAGGATATCTACAAAGGTGGTGGGGTGAGAGGTGACCACAGTAAATTGTAAGCCTACACCAAGCATTTTTCTGAATGGAATTGGACATAAAAAAATTAGTCTGTAAAACACCCTTAGAAAGAAATAATCTGTGTATTGATGTTCAGCAGCCTCAGAACCCAGGTTACTAAGTTACTGAGGAGGAGAGTACAAAAGCATGGAAAGGTTGCTACTAGAAATACAGTAGAACCCAAAGCTTGGGTAACTCCCACAGGAAATAACGAACAGCATTTTTTAAGAATGCTGCAAAGTGACTGTTACAAGTCATTAATACAAAATGCAGACACCGTGCACATTACAAAATAATAGTATTTTAAACAAAACTATTCAACATAGTGATAATACTGTATTTAATAAACAGTAATATATTTAGAACTGCAGCGAATTACAATGAATAGCACTGTTTAGTCAGTGTAATTGTTGAATAATTCAGCTGTCAAATTTAGACTGATAATGTGATTACTTAGATCTTAGACAGAATTGCTATCACCACACATTCACATAACATTGCAGTATGATACATAATTGCTTCATGCATTAATACAAATAAATTATAAATGCTAGTCACACACACAATATAAAAATATTGCATAAAAGTATCGAAATTAATACGTACTTGCTGAGTAAGCAGACAGGTGCCCTTGGTAACCAGATCAGTAGTCGACTGCTCAGCTATACTGATTTACCTTTACTCGAAGAGAAATGTATATGAAACATGAGAACCCATTGTTCAATCACAGTGCTAGGTGATTAAATTTTGCTACTTTGTAAGAATCCGGAAAAAGTGCAGTGTAACTTGTCAGAGAGGAGAGAAAGAGGCACAAAAGACAGGAATGACAACAGCCTTAGAATTAATTGGGTAATGGAAACAGATTGGAAATGACATAGTTCCACATCCAATTCAGAGGGAATGCAATGATGAAAGAGAAAGGGATGAGATATATTCTTAGAAACTTAATAATATGTGAAGAACTTAACAAAAGATTTCAGAATATCTTTACAACAAAACAGAATCAATTATATGTATTGAAACAACATGTAAGTTATGGGATTTAGAATACTAGATCTAACAAAAGTAATTGAAAGGACACAAGTGGATACACTTAAGGCATCTTTATTATAATGGAGATGTTGTGTCCTTCCTACGTACAGTGGAACCTCAAAAATCGAACGTATCACATATCGAACGTTTCGAAAATAGGACCATTTTTTCAGACAAACTGTGTCCCTATTATCGAACGCGCCCCTATTTTCGGACCGCTGGGTACGGGACCTGTCTGCCGGCCCGCTCTGTCCGCGTCCCCGCGCAGGCACCATGAGCAGTCTAGCTTTGTTTATGCTTGAGTGAACACTAAGCTGCGCTCTCATTCACGCATTTTACGATTATTTTGTTGTGTTTAGTGCTTGGGGGACTGTGAAATAAGCTGCCATGGGCCCAAAGAAACTTGCTAGTGGTACCCCTGTGGCAAAGAAAGTGAGAAACACCATAGATGTGAAGAAGGAAATAATACAGAAGTATGAGAGTGGTGTGAGACTTGTTGAGCTTGCCAGGATGTATGGGAAAAACAAGTCGATCATTGGTTCTATCCTGTCAAAGAAAGAACAAATCAAGGAAGCTGATGTTGCGAAAGGTGTTAATATGCTAACCAAAAAAAGACCACAAATAGTTGAAGAGGTTGAGAAGTTGTTGCTGGTGTGGATCAAGGATAAAGAGATTGCAGGTGATAATGTTTCAGAGACAATTATTTGCGAAAAGGCAAGGAAGTTGCATGCCGATCTGGTACAGAAAACTCCTGGAACCAGTGCTGATAGTGAATTTAAGGCCAGCAGAGGCTGGTTTGACAGATTTAAGAAGCGTAGTGGCATACACAATGTTGTAAGACATGGTGAGGGCTTTACCTGAGGTCCTCATGGAGGGGGATTCTCCTTCCAAACACTAACCCCAACTCCCTCTCTCCTCCCTATATCTTCCAGATGCCATCACCAATCTTCAATAAAGGTACGTAAAAATGTTATTTTATATGTATTACTATACATAATTAAAAACTATAGTATTTGTTGTATGTAAAACTGTAATTAATCTCTATAAAATGTATATTTTGTGTGAATATTTTTGGGTTTCTGGAACAGATTAATTTATTTCCATTATTTAGGGGAAATATTGCTTCGAATTTCAGACTTTTCGAATTTAGAACTAGCTCCTGGAACAGATTAAGTTTGATTTTTGAGGTTCCACTGTAGTAGGCTGGTAGACAGCAACTGCCCAGGGAGGTACTACTGTCCTGCCAAGTGAGTGTAAAATGGAACCCTGTAATTATTTTACATGATGGTCGGGGTGCTGGTGTCTTTTCTGTCTCATAAACATGCAAGATTTCATGTACATCTTGCTACTTCTACTTAAACTTAGGTCACACTGCACATTCATGTACAAGCATATACAGTGGACTCTCAGCTAACGATAGCATCACCTTACGTTAAATCCAGCATACGATACATTTTAACGCAAAAATTTTGCCTCGGCTAATGCTAAAAAACTCACCCTACGCGATTTGTTCGAGACACGTCCACGTGTGGCCCGAGCGCGCCTCAGTTGTCCCGTGGGTGCCAGTGTTTACAAGCCAGCCAGTACGGTTGCATCCACACATACAATCAGAACATTTCATATTATCACAGCATTTTTAGTGATTGTACCTGCAAAATAAGTCGCCATGGACCCCAAGAAAGCTTCTAGTGCCAACCCTGCAGGAAAAAGGGTGAGAATTACTATGGATATGAAGAAAGAGATTAAGGAAATGTGTGCAGAGTGGCTTGAGGTGCAAACCTTTATGGATGAAAATCACCCTCACACAGCTATTGCAAGCCGTGCTGGTGACTATTACAATGACAATGTTGTGAACCACTTTAGACAAATCATAAAGGAACGGGAGGTACAGGCCTCTATGGACAGATATGTTGTGCGACAGAGGTCCAGTGACTCTCAAGCTGGTCCTAGTGGCGTTAAAAGAAGAAGGGAAGTAACCCCGGAAAAGGACTTGATACCTCAAGTCCTAATGGAAGGGGATTCCCCTTCTGAACATTAACAACTTCCACACTATCCCCTCCTCCCATCCCATCAATCATCACCAGATCTTCAATAATGGTAAGTGTCAGTTTGTGTGTATTAAAATTAATATTTCATGTGGTAATTTTTTTTTTTCATACTTTGGGGTGTCTTGCACGGATTAATTTGATTTCCATTATTTCTTATGGGGAAAATTAATTCAGCTAATGATAATTTCAGCATACGATGAGCTTTCAGGAACGGATTAATATCGTTAGCTGAGGGTCCAATATATATGCACACCCCTCTGGGTTTCCTTTTGTTTTCTTACTAGTTCTTGTTCTGGTTTATTTCCTCTTATCTCCATGGGGGATTGGAACAGAATTTTTCCTCCGTAAGCCATGCGTGTCGTAAGAGGCGGCTAAAATGCCACAGGAGCAAGGGGCTAGTAACCCCTTCTCCTGTATACATTACTAAAGTTAAAAAGAGAAACTTCTGTTTTTCTTTTTGGGCCACCCTGCTTCGGTGGGATTTGGCCGGTTTGTTGAAAGAAGAAAAGTGTCCTTTCATTTATATTGTTAGTATCACTATACGTACCTTCAAAAAAAATTTAAAATGACAGAACACCAACTTTGGAGCAGAAATGCTGAACAAGTTGCTTATATAGATTATCAACAAGCAGGCAGGCTCTTAAATTTGAAACAAGTGTCCCTAAGAAATATCCCACATAAGTTGATACAGATGAGAGACCAGTGCAGTAGCTGAATACAACACAGTATAAAGAGAAGGGACAACAGGCTTCATATTTTTAGATTATAGTGAATTTGATACAGTACCAGACATTATTTCTTTAAATACATCACACAGACTATTCCTGTCATTTGTACTATACAGACTATTCCTCTGACATAATACCACTGACAGTATCATACTGAATTTGTGATTGAGATAAACTAAAAATACAGAATAACATGATTAACCTGCTTTTCAAAATGCACACACACAAGATAACATCAAGGGTGTATCTCAAACCAGCAAGTGTATGCTAGGCCTTTGCAAACTTCAACAAGGAATTTTAAAAATCACTGTCCACATGAATAAGTTCAATGCTACAGCATTAAACCCATGCCCCAAGCACATAATGAATCTCGAGTATTCAGTGCCATACTGCTACCAGAACTGAGAGGCTAAAGCTGTGAGGAAAGACTTCAAAAATTTGATCTCACACTTCGTGAATCATGCTGGAGTAATGTTAATTAAGAGCATGATACTGACACAAAAAGTATTCAGACAATAGACAAGGCTAGATTATTTGATTTGGGAGAGCAATGGATGATAGGAAATATTATTGCACCATAAGGGTTATAAAGAAACAATGAGGGTAGAAGTGATAGAGTAAAGGTTGGTTCCAGTCATGGATTTTAAATTAATTGTGACAGCTACATCATGTCACAAGTGTAGGAGCATGTTCATTATTTTATACATGTACTGTGCCTGTTGGAGTTTGAGGGGACCTGACTAAAGTGAATACAAGTTCTTATTTTGAATTGATATGTGAACCCCTATTTGAACTCAGCTTCTACTGTATTGTTGTCCAGGCAAAAAAAAAAAAAAAAAAAAAGCTTAACATTTATATTATTTGAATGTTGAGTTTCAATTTGTTTCTCTGCAGGCATGTTCTTAGGGTTCTTTTAGTTAATAATCTTCATAGTCTCATCTTCAGAAAAACTTATTTCTCCAAAGATGCGTGTGGAATTGCATGAAAGTGCTCAGGTGTTTCTGTTCTGTTCATTTCTTCATTTTTGTATTTTTTCATATTTGTAGACTAGCATTTAATCCTTTCAAGGTTTCCGACTAACTGGTACGGCTTAAGCACTAGGGCTATTGATGTACTAGTACGCCTAAATTCTAGCGCCTTCAAATCTAGTGAGAGAAAGCTGGTAGGTCTACATATGAAAGAATGGGTTTATGTGGTCAGTGTGCACAGTATAAAAAAAATCCTGCAGCACACAGTGCATAATGAGAAAAAAAAGACTCTGGCCATGTTTTTGGTTTAAAACAGTGACTTTGCAGTATATTTTCATATGGTATTTATGGTTGTATTTTAGTTTTCCTGGTCTCATTTTATAGAATGGAAGACATATTACAGAAATTGAGATGATTTTGATTGGTTTCGTAATGAAAAGTACCTTGAAATTGAGCTCAAAGTAGCAGAAATGTTCAATTTTTACCAAAGTTCAAAAGTAAACAAATCATGCCATGTGCCCAATACATGTCAACTGGTGAGTCTAATATTCTTTCACAAGTGTGCTGATATTATTTATACCATTTTTACACCATTTCTACACTAATGGAGTAGTCTGCATAACAGTGAGAATAAAAATTCAAAGTGGAAAGCAAAAGAGATGTAAGAGGAGCCTGGGGACATGACTAATGAACAGAAAAAGTGTCATTTTAGTGCCAGGAATGTCTGTCTTGTTTATTCTGGACCCTATTTGGAAATTGGCATCTTCTGAAATTTGTGTGAAATTGGCAAAATTGCCAATTTCTGACCACTTTATTGGATAGTTGAAATTGATAAATGAGTGGTTTCTTGTACTCATTCGATATAAAAAATGGAGTTCTAGCAAAATAGATATGATTTTTGTCAACTAGTACACTGGAATTGGCCGAAAATAGGGCTCAAATTGGGCGAAATCGCCAATGCATGAACATCGTCGAGACCACTAACTTTGCAAGAGCATAATTCCGTAAGTTTTCCATCAAATTTCATACTTTTGGTGTCATTATGATCGGGAAAAGATTATTTATCATTTCACAAGAAAAAAAAAAATTCAAAAAATTTCCGACCCTGAGAATGAGTTTAGGAGAGGGCCTGGGGACCCTGAAAGGTTTAATAGTGATTACTTCCCACATGTAACATTATATCAACATTACACTCAGGAAGCTACACAAATCATAAAAATGTAAAATGCTTGCACTTAAAATTTTTTTTTTCCAGCAAACTGGTTGTATCCCACTGAGGCAGGGTGACCTAAAAAGAAAAATGAAAGTTTCTCTTTAGCAATTTACAGAGGAGAAGGGGTTACTAGCCCCTTGCTTCTGGCATTGCTCTTACCAAGAAAAAAAAAGACATGATATATAATATCACAAGCTAATTCCCAGTTAGTTAAGTAATAACATCCAGTGGTTTATATATTTATTGAAATGTGACTTTTTGAGCTTTATTAGAAGTGAATTTCTCAACAAGTTTACAAGATTATAATCCAAATCAGCCAGTTTTATATTCAGTTGGAATCATTCTTAATCCAGCTAAGCACTTATAACAGTAATAGTAATAATAATGATAATAATAATAATAATAATAATTATTATTATTATTATTATTATTATTATTATTATTATTATTATTAATACAAAGCACTAAATTTTTATGGGTTATGCACCACAAGGGGTAGTGTAGGCTTGATCTTTGCTCACCATTCTCAAGCCAGACATGTTTCATAACTGTACTTGCCTAGGTGATTACTCTTATGACAGGAAAGCAAATAGATAATTTTTTATTTTTTTTTTCCAGTTTACCTCCCAGCCCAGATGGTACACTGTCTCTGGTTTACTTTTCCTGGCTACCAATTTTATTACTTTGCACTTGCTGAGGTTGAACTCAAGTAGCCACTTCTATTGTACATACAGGACACTAAGCTGTGTAAATTGCCAATTTTACTAAACAAATTGTTTATAAAATGTCTCTTTCATTTGAATACTTTGTGGAGTTTTAATGACTACTAAAATTTATGACTATAATTATACAGAATATTCCAAGAAATTAATAAAAACAATGCTGTAGCAGTAGCAAGAATTCATAGTTTTCTATGATTACGTAGTTCATGTTATGTGCAAAGGATGCTGGTCCATCCAGAGTCTCTCGTTACAGTGTCTCCATCAGTTGTAGTAATACTTGTTTAGTATACATATCTAATTATGTGTATGGCAATGCAGTATGTATTTGTAATTAATACATTGGTATTGTCTAATATTACAATATTCACGACAGAGTGCTACAGCCTGTGTATCACATAATGTAAGGTACTCTCACTTGTTATACAATACTGCCATCATTGCTTTGTAAGGTGTTTTACATGGAATGTAGTAATGTTTGTAAATGTAACACATCTGTCCTAAATATGAATATTCATTATACTGTTTTGTATTTTTAATTAACATCAGCATATTCATTTATTAATTTTTTTGAAAATACAGAATACATTTTCAGCACAGGCACTACTACCCTTCTTTCCTCCAGGATTTAAGTCTGGCTAACGAGTGTCCATGAATCCCTTGCTCACACTCAAACAGCACATCCATTAAAAAACACTCAATCTTCATTCACTTGTTTCTAATAAAAAACAAATGCTTACTGGATTGAATACTCGAGACTTTTTTACCTTCTCTTTCCAACTTTTCTTGGGATGATCTGCTATCCTCTGTATATACATTACTTTACATTACATACATGTAATGCAGATGTTACAAATGTATGGAGTAGGTGGTAGGTTACTTAAAGTAGTAAAAGGCTTTTCGGTGGATAGGTGCAAGTTAGGGTATGTAGGAGATGGAGATTATTTTCCATTAAAATTTGGCCTTAAACAGGGATGTGTAATGTCACCACAGTTGTTTAACATATTTATAGATGGGGGTTGTAAGAGAAGTAAATGCTAGAGTGTTAGGGAGAGGTGTGAGATGGATAGTGAACCTGGTATGGAGTGGGAGTTGTCACAGTTGTTTTTTTTGGAAGGAGAATGGGGTAAGGGTCACCCTAAGAAAAGTTGGGTGGAGGGAGGGGGTAAAAGAGGTTTTGTGTGCAAGAGGCTTAAACATTCAGCAGGCATTTGCGTGAGCATGTTTAATAGGCGTGGAAGCAAATTGGTTTTGGGACTTGAGCTGTTGGAATGTGAGGAAGGTAACATTTTGTGAAGGGATTCAGGGACTTGAGTCCTGGAGGTGGGAAGTACAGTGCCTGCACTCGGAAGGAGGGATGGGGATATTTGCAGTTTGATGGTGAAAGTGTTTCTTTGGTCGATCACCCTAACTTGATGGGAGATGGCCAATGCGTTAAAAGAAAATACATACACACATGTGCGCACACACAAAAAGGCTCTTGAAGCTGGGAGAGAGTGAATCTAGTAGTGAAAAGTAAAGAGGTGGGGCAGAAGGTGTTATTCAACCCCTACAACTACATATAGGCGAGCGCACATAGACACACATGCATCTGTATACATACGTGTGTGTGTGTGTGTGTGTGTGTGTGTGTGTGTGTGTAAAGGTAGAAAGTTGATAGCGAACATAGATAAGAGTAAGGTGATGAGGGTATCAAATGATACAGATAAAGAAAAATTGGATATCACATTGGAGGGAGGGAGTATGGAAGAAGTGAATGTGTTCAGATATTTGGGAGTTGACTTGTCAGCAGATGGGTTCATGAAGGATGTTTGTGATGAAACAGGCCTGTTTTGGAAGAAAATGCCAAACAGGACCTACATTACTCAGGAGGAAAAGGCACTCCCAGGACACAAGCCTATGAAAGACAGGGTAACTCTCATGTTTTGTAGTAATGCTAATGGTGATTGCAAAGTGAAGCTTTTACTTGTGTATCACTCTGAAACTCCCAGAGTGTTCAAGAAAAACAGTGTCGTCAAGCCTAAATTGTGCGTGATATGGAGAGCAAACAGTAGGGACATTTTCTTTGATTGGTTTTATGCCATGTTTGGCCCCACTGTAAAAAAATACCTCCTGGAAAATAAATTGGACCTTAGGTGCCTACTGGTAATGGACAATGCTCCTGCTCATCCTCCAGACTTGGAAGAGCGAATTGTGGGGGAGTTTAGCTTCATCAAAGTGAAGTTTTTGCCTCCTAATACCACTCCTCACCTCCAGCCCATGGACCAGCAGGTCATTTAAAATTTCAAAAAACTGTACACCAAAGCAGTGTTTCAAAAGTGCTTTGAAGTGACCTTAGACACTGAATTGACCCTAAGAGAGTTCTGGAAAGATCACTTTAGTATCCTCAGTTGCATAAACCTTATAGGTAAGGCTAGAGAGGGTATGACTTACAGGACTTTGAACTCTGCTTGGAGAAAATTGTGGCCAGGCTGTGTCCAAGAGAGGGATTTTGAAGGGTTTGGGGCTGACCCTGTGGAGCCTGTGCCAGTTATGGAATCTATCGTGTCTGGGGAAGTCCAGGGGGTTGGAGGTTAGTGGCGAGGATGTGGAAGAGTTGGTGGAAGACAATGATGAAGAGCTAAGCACTGCAGAGCTGCAAGAGCTTGAGGTGCAACAGCAACAGACCACAGCTCAGGAATTTCCTTCAGAGGAGGAGAAAGAGAGATGGAGGAAGTTGTCTTCGTCAAAGATTAAGGACATTTGTACAGTGTGGACAAAGGTGCAAGTCTTTATGGACGAACATTACCCTGACACAGCTGTTGCAGGCCATATTGGCAACATGTACAATGACACTATTGTGTCCCATTTTAGGGAAATCTTAGAGATGCCAGAAACAGAGCTCTCTGGACAGATATTTGGTGTGACAGGGGTCCAGTGACTCTCAAGCTGGTCCTAGTGGTATTAAAAAACAAAGAAGGGAGGTAACCCCAGAAAAGGGCTTGTTACTTGAAGTCTTTATGGCAGGGGATTCCCCTTCCAAACAATAATACACTTCATCCTTTCCCCTCCTCCCATCTCATCACTCATCATTAAGTCCTCAATAAAGGTAAGTGTCATTTCAGTATTGTTTATTGTGCACGCCTCATTGTTTTCTGTGTAGGGAAATGTATATTTCATGTAAAAAAAAAAATTGTGTTTAATACTTTTGGGTGTCTGGAACGGATTAATTGGATTTCCATTATTTCTTGTGATGAAAATTAATTCGGCTAACGACAAAATCGGTTAAAGACAAGCTCTCTGGAACGGATTAATGTCGTTACCCGGGGGTCCACTGTACTGTATTGTTTTAACTTCTTTATATATCCAGTAGTGTCATCATTACATTGGACTAAGTCTGCAGCACTGGGCATTTCTGTATCCAATAGTTCATCAGTGCAGCAGATGTAGTCCACTGCACCAGAGATTACAATAAACAGACACCCCCTTATCCCAGTTAGTCTGTTACACAGAGGTAACACTGTATTAGTAATCCCTCTGTACCATCTTTGACTGTGAAACTATAGAATCATGTATGAATAATTATTGAGAACTTTCACTAAACCTCACTCCCTGTTGAAATCATTGCCATAATTACTATGATTACAGTGGACCCCCGCATAACGATGGCATCACATAGCGATTTTTCCGCATACCGCTTACTTTTATCGCAAAATTTTTGCCGCGCATACCGATTAAAAACCCGCTCACCGATTTTCGTCCGAGACGCGTCCAATGTGCCCTCAGCCAGCCTCACATGTGCCGCCCGTCCCATTGTTTACCAGCCAGCCTCCGCGGTAACATCCAAGCATACACTCGGAATATTTCGTATTATTACAGTGTTTTCGGTGCTGTTTCTGGAAAATAAGTGACCATGGGCCCCAAGAAAGCTTCTAGTGCCAACCCTGTGGTAAAAAGGGTGAGATTAGTATGGAAATTAAGAAAGATTTTGAAGGGTTTGGGGCTAACCCTGAGAAGCCTATGCCAGTTGTGGAATCCATTGTGCCTACTTCAAAGATTAAGGAAATGTGTGCACAGTGGGTTGAACTGCAAACCTTTATGGATGAAAATCACCCTGACACAGCTGTTGCAAGCCGTGCTGGTGACTATTTCAATAACAATGTTGTGGCCCATTTTAGACAAATCGTAAAGGAACGGGAGGTACAGAGCTCTATGGACAGATTTGTTGTGCGACAGAGGTCCAGTGACTCTCAAGCTGGTCCTAGTGGCATTAAAAGAAGAAGGGAAGTAACCCCGGAAAAGGACTTGCTACCTCAAGTCGTAATGGAAGGGGATTCCCCTTCTAAACAGTAAGAAGATAATGCTCTCCCCTCCTCCCATCCCATCAATCATCACCAGATCTTCAATAAAAGTAAGTGTCATGTAAGTGTGCATGCCTTTTTCAGTTTGTGTGTATTAAAATTAATATTTCATGTGGTAAAAAAATTTTTTTTTCATACTTTTGGGTGTCTTGCACGGATTAATTTTATTTCCATTATTTCTTATGGGGAAAATTCATTCACATAACGATTATTTCGCATAACAATTACCCCTCTTGCACGGATTAAAATCGTTAACCGGGGGTCCACTGTATTAACATTATTATTATTCTTTAATCCTTTCAGGGTCAGCAGGCTCTCTCCTAAACTTGTTCTCAGGGTCGGAAATTTTTCGAAAAACAAATTATTTTTTCTTATGAAATGATAGAGAATCTTTTCCTGATCATAATGACGCCAAAATTATGAAATTTGATGGAAAACTTACAGAATTATGCTCTCGCATCGGCGATTTCGCCCATTTTGAGCCCTATTTTCGGCCAATTCCAATATACCAGATGACAAAAATCAACTATTTCACTAGAACTCCATTTTTTCTATCGAATGAGTACAAGAAACCACCCATTTACCGTTTTCAACTATCCAATAATGTGGTCAGAAATTGGCAATTTTGCCAATTTCACACAAATTTCAAAAAGATGCCAATTTGCAAATAGGGTCCAGAATAAACAAGACAGACATTCCTGGCACTAAAATAACATTTCCTTTGTTCATTAGTAACATCCCCAGGCCCCTCTTACATTTTTTTTGCTTTCCACTTTGAATTTTTATTCTCACAAAAAAATAGATTTACTGTTATGCAGACTACTGCATGATTTGTTTACTTTTGAACTTTGGCAAAAATCGAACATTTCTGCTACTTTGAGCTCAATTTCAAGGTACTTTTCATTGTGATACCAATCAATATCATCTCCATTTCTGTAATACGTCTTCCATTCTATAAAATGAGACCAGGAAAACTAGAATACAATCATAAAAAGCATACGAAAATACACTGCAAAGTCGCTGTTTTAAAGCAAAAACACGGTCAGAGTTTTTTTTTTTTTCGCATTATGCACTGTGTGCTGCAGGATTTTTTTTTATGCTGTGCACACTGATCACATAGACCCATTCTTTCATATGTAAGCCTACCAGCTTTCTCTCACTAGATTTGAAGGCTCTAGAATTTATG